ACCTTCAATGTGAAATAACGGTTTTGCCTCATCCACAGTAAAGCTCATTCTTTCTCTTTATTATCGGGATGTAAAACTCTCAGTCCCGGGCCCATAAAATCCGTAGGTTTAAAACTTGTTTTAGGGAAAATGTTCTGTTTTCTCCTGAGGGGCAACGTGTCGGTCGGGGAACACCGCCTGGCTCCAGGAGTGGGGGCCTGGACGTGTGCGGAGGGACGATGTCGCTGCGGCCTGAGCCAGCATGTGTTTCTGCCTCAATAAAAATGTTGACAGTTCACCGTCAGCTGAAACTCATTTTCAGGAAAGTCTCAAAATTGTGTTATAAAATAAAGAGGAAATTTACATGGAGGAAAAGTGCTAAATTTTCATATCCCCTTCCTCCCAATTAGCTTTTTTTTGTTCTTTTGCTGTCTCTGGAGAGGATGGAGGGACCGTCTTCGGGGTAGTCACGGTGACGGTGTCCCTCGGTGCCTGACCGTGGGACAGGTGCCTGGAGGTGGAATAACAGGAATCGTGATGCTGACCGTCCACACTGACCTCGTGCACAGCCGCTCAGCACGCACGTCCTGTACTGCTCCCGAGTGACCCTCACTTCACTGGGCTTCGGGACGTTCCCCTCCATGAATCTCCCTGAACGAACAGACTTTGACAGATGGTAGCATGAGCCAGGGAGGAAGGGGGTGGGCGGTGGGTGCTGCCCCTGCAGACTAGAGGTCACAGGAGGCTTCCCAGACATTTGAAGAGAGAACCCAAGACGTCCGGCAGGAGACAGGGAGGAAGGCCGTTTGGCTGAGGGCACTGCATGTGCAAAGGCCCTGTGGTGGCCCGCGGCCCGCGTGTTGGGAGACCAGCAGGAGGCAATTATGGGGGAGAAAACAGCAACGGCCGGAAGGCGTGGACATGAGCACTGCGGTGGTCCTCGGAGCGAGGGGAGACTGGGTCAGGAGTGGGGAAGGCCTGCGCTGTCTATGGTTCTACCCTTTACTCTGGGGAACGGCGGAAGCTATGAGGTGAGGACAGGATCCGGCGAGGGTGCGGCGTCAGCCGGCTGGCAGCAGGGACCTGGGCAGGCACCGTCCTCAGCGAATATTCAGGCCAGAGAGCTGAGGTCACTCCTGCAGGAGGGCGGGGTTGGCAAGGGAAAGACAGGAGTAAGTCCAGGGTTCAGGGGCGCATTTGAGAGCCGGGAGTGCCCTTCACTGGGATGAGCCCCGAGAAGGGGCGGGTTGGGGGATGGGAAGCCAGGAATGCCTTTTGAGACAGGCTGGCATCCAGATGTCCGGCGGGCAGCAGGCGGGCGTGCACGTCTGGGCGGGCGGCTGGGAACTGAGTGTGGACACCGCATCCGGGCGGCGTTGACCCGCGGGGACTGGGCAGAACACCGAGTGCCTGCCGGCCGCGCACGGCATCGCCTGACCCTGGAAAACGTCTCCCGTGTGCAGACTGAGCCGCTGTGTGGAGATGGGGTGTTCACGTGGCCGATACCCTGCGTCACAGCGCGAGGGCTTCCCTGACCTCCTGCTGCCTTAGCGCGTCCGGCATCGCGCGGCCACCGCACACCTACTGCTCCGCGGTGCACGAGGACGTGGCCCTGCCTCCCCCGGAGAATCCCGGGGCCCCTCCCTCCGGAGAGGGAGACACACCGCCGGCACCACCTGAGAACCTCGCAGCCGACGCCGTCCTCAGGTCCAGCCCCGGACCCCTCTCTCCAGCCCCAGCACCTCACTCCCTGCCGGCACACGAAGGGGCTCGGCTGTTACCTCCCTACAGCCCACCTGGCTGCACTGTGGACCCCCGGGCGGAACCTGCGGGGACACCGGCCTGGGCGGTGGGCACGTTCACCGCAGTCCCCGCCTGTGCGCGCTCCATGTCCTAAGCTCTCCGGGTCTGAAGACACCGCCACATACGCCCGGCGGGACGTGAGCCCTGGGGGACCCACCGCCCCAGCCCCCCACCCACCCAGCGCTGGAGCGACCTCACCGCGGGGGACGGGCCTGCGCAGGCGTCCAGCAGTGCCCAGAGCTGGTTGTCACGGCCCCGCCCGGCAGGACGGCCAGCGCACAGGCAGCCCTTCGCCACCTGCAGGGACAGGAGCCCAGAGCCCGGACGTCGCTCCTTCGCGGACCCCAGGGGCCCGGTCTCCGCCACTCCAGCCAGGAGGCCTGTAGGTGAAGCGTGTAAACTCGAGGCGGCCAAGCAGTGATTGCGGGACAGATGGGCGCGCGAATCGGAGTGGTCGAAAGGCGCGGCCGTTTTCTGCCTTAGCCCCAGAATGAACACTTCCACCAGGAAAGGGATTATTTTCCTTGGATCAGGTCTTGGCCGGCGGGGCCAGCATGGGCGTGATTTACCGCGGAAGCCGGTCACCTCTGACCCTGCGGCCACGCCCAGATTCGCAGTCGGGTGCACCCGTTCTGGAGTATTCCAGAGGGGTCCCCACGGAATCTGAGCGCCGTGCTCCGAAGCCTGTACGCGTTCACTTGCCACCTCGGAACAGCTCGGGCGCCTTCTGCAGAGCCGGCGGGCACCCGGGGCGGAGCTCAGCGCCCTGGCCTTTTACGCTTCCCCGCCGATGAAACCGAAGTCCCTGTAGCAGGTCTGATTGCACGACCCTCCGTGCTTGTGTTTCAGATGTCACAGTGCAAGACGCGGGGCTGGGGGCTGGGAAAGACGTCACAGCGCCAGCGGGCGCTGGGGAGCAGGACCCGCTGTGCTGGGACAGGACCCTGCGCGCTGCCCGGACAGATCCCGCTGGGCCCGACCCAGGAGTCATCCCAGGGAGGCGGGGCCGCGGGGATGGCAGGGGCCGCGGGGATGGGCATGGCTGAGCATTCAGTGGTTCAAGTAAAGTGGCTCATGAATTATACATTTAATTAAGGAAAACCAAATGGGAAGGGTTTTAAACTTCCAATTTGCAGAGATTTTTTGTTGTTGTTGTCGTTTCTTCCCTTATTAAAAAATAGACAAATTCAGCACACGGTGGCTGATGATGAACACAAGTACGGGAGGACCCCCTGCCGCTGGCTGTGTGGATGAATGGGCAGGGGCCTCGCGGGACAGGGGGCCGCGGGACAGGACCTCCGGCCACCACAGAGGGGCACCCGGGACCCCGAACCGCATCGCAGAGGGTACTGTAGACTCCTCTGCTCACGGCCCTGGAAGAGGAGGAGGCGAGGCTGAAGGGCTCTCAGGGCCCCTCCCCCCAGACAGTCCGCGAACCAGCCCCCGTTCCGCCAGACCCTGCGCTGCCCTCCAGGGCGCACCCCGCCAAGGAGATCGAGGTCACCGCTGATCTCAGCGATTTCCCCAGCGGAGCCGGGCCCTGAGCCAGCGCCGGGCACTGGTTAGCATTGGATTCTCTGACTCCTCCCACCACCGAAGGGAGACTCGGGGGCAGAGCCCAGAAGTCTGGTTTTACCAAGTCCTCCTGGCCCTTGGGACACACACTCGCGTCACCACCTCTGCAGGTGGAGAGATTACTTGTCAGGGCCTCACAGATACGTTCATTCCCTGCTGGTCTTAGCTGGGAGCAGGCTGGAGTCGGCTGGAATGACAGGCGAACCTTCCACCCGGCTCGGTTCTGAGACCCTGAGCTCAGGGCCGGTGCTGGGGGAGGGACGGGGGAGGGACAGTTGCCCAGTGGGAGGAGGACTGGGTGTGCCTGGCTCTCAGGCTTGGAGGGTAGCCACGGTGAGCACCGGCCAGGGAAAGGGTCTCCTGGAACTGCAGACAGGGAGGAAGGTGGTGTTGCGGGAGGTCCGAGCCCACTCCCTCGCGGCGACAGTGTGCCCTGGGAAATGACCTGTGCGCCCCAGCTCCGCAGCCTCTCCTTATCAGGGCTGCTAGCAACAGCCGCACGGGACAAGCTGTGGGGTGACCGACCGTGTAGAGAACGAGGGAGCTCTTTTCACACGTCTTCATGTAATCGCCCCTATTTCTGGGCGACTTTCTTCCAGCAGCTGCTCATGTCCCGCCCTCGAAGGGTCTCTGCATCCAGGAACAGGCGGAAGCATTTCAGCAGCCAAGGGGACGATGACGGCCCCAAGGGGGGGATGGGAATTACAGCCTCGGGGCCTGAGGTTACAGGGGAAGGAAATGAAGGTTCAGGGGCACCAGGAGGGGCGACCTGTAGTTTCTGTTAGTGAAAGGGGTGACACTTTCCGAGGGCTGGCGCCGATGACTCTCCCCGAGCAGGATTGGATACAGACCCCTGCGCTGAGACACGGCCCTGGGGATTTCTCAAGATCATCTTTGTGTCGCGAAAGGTTCAAAGAATGAGGAGTCACTGACACCTGGGGAACGTGAACTACATTTTCCCTCCTCTTTATACTGAAGAAGAGTTTACGGTCTGGACGTCTCTCTGGTTTCAAACAAAATCCCCCTGAACAACTTTTTGGGGGACACAGGGCCAGAGGCTTGGAAGGGAGGCAGCAAAGGACATCGGCAAAGAAACTGGGACACAAGAGCCCACACAGAGTGCTGGGAGACCCCGGGAGGGACTTGCCGGAGAAAACAGATTCAGTGACTAGGCACAGGACAAGATGTCAGAGCACTTTTCAAAACCGAGACGTGAACTGTGCTTGTGCGTTCTTGATGTGAAGCATAGACTCTTCAATCAAAGAGATGCCTTTTGCAAAGATTCATCTTGCAACATGTCAGGCAGTGGTAGTCCATCCTTTGCTTGGTTACCGCTGATGATGGAGAGCTCATTACTCACAAATCAGTTGCTGCCCTAGCTCTGACGCGTACACCGGTCTGCCACCCTCACTAACCACAGTTCCTACCTTTGCCTTCTGCACATCATGGGCAGGGTGACCGTACAATTTATCATCCAAATTGGGATACGTCTGAATAGCAGAGAAGAACACAATTACACCAGCACAACAGACACACACTGGGCAAACGGGCACAACCTCATTGTAACTGTGGGTCAGCAGGGCACAGCACTTCCAGATAAGAAGGAAGCTGGTCAGGATAATACTCCTTTTCCTGTTTTCCAGGTGTGTCTTATGCATGGACCTTCAACGATGACCCTTTACAGGAAGACAACCGACGGTTTGTCTCTCAAGAGACAGGCAGCCTGTACATCGCCAAAGTGGAACCATCAGACGTGGGCAACTACACCTGCTCCGTAACCAGCAGGGACGCTCGGAGAAGTGTCCGTGGACCTCCCACGCCGCTGGTGCAGCGCCCTGATGGTGAGACCACGTGACAGACCTTCTCACTTGGGATGTGCCTGGTCCCAAGTGAGAAGGTCTGTCAGCTTGCTGCTCCCTCTGGTCCAGAGACCCCTCGTCATCTCTGAGTCCAGGGTCAATCCACAAATATGACGAAAATCAGGTATTATCAAAACATAGCAAAGTGTTCTACAGCCCGTGCGGTGCACAGCACGAGTCTGGGCATCCATGGCCTCTCTGGCACTGGACTCGATCAGCTTTGCTTTGCTTAGGGAGGATTTTGTAAAAAAAAGCAAAACAGAACAACGATATTTGTTTGGGGGGTAGGTGTGTGTGTGCATGTGTGGGTGCTGACAAACTTATTAATTGGATCTATATATTTTTAATATGTTTTTATTGTGTTTTTACAGAGAGAGAAAGGAGGAGAGAGACAGAAACATCCATGGAAGAGAGAAACATCGATCGGCTGCCTCCTGCACGCCCCCTACTGGGGATCAAGCCCACAACCTGAGCATGTGCCCGGACCAGGAGTGGAACCCGGACCTCTCAGGCCCTGGGACGGCACTCAATCCACTGAGCCACACCGGCCGGGCAGATCAGTATATTTTTAATGAACATATGATGCAGCTTTCCCTTAATGCCTTTCTTTTCCATTTTTGTCTTTTATTTTCACCGTTTATTTACCTGGCTAGCAAGAGGGGAAAAAATTCACATCCAAGGGCAGCCAAGTGAGCCAACATTAATTATGAGCATTGCGGAAAGGAAGGAAATACAAGACTCGTACTCACTGTTCCTCCTAGAAGCGCACGCCGGAGTGGCCTCTGATGGGCAGTGTAGTTAATCAAGCCATCGCAGGTGTAAGATTCAGAGGCTCGAAAATGCAAGGAAGTCATCCAAGTAGAAAAAACCCCAGTCGATTCTTTAATTAAATATTCACAGGGGAAATGCACCCACAGCACGTCTGCTGATGCATGTTAAGACCTCATTCTGGGCTAGAAATGTAACCGCACAGGGTTCGCCTCCTCTCGCAGGAGTTCGCGAAAAGCGGGAACATGATGCTCATCGTGGCTCCCAGAGGAGGAGGCAGCTGCGTGTAGGGTGCTCCCGACCGAGCACGACAGCCGACCCTCCAGAAGATTGCCGTGGTCTCATTCAGAGTGTGGCCACAGCTGGACGGTCGTGTCCGGGGTCCAGCCTCTCCCTGCAGGGGGCGCCCGTTCTGGCCGGAGGGCTCCCACCTCCACATGGCTTCCCACGTCGTTCTGTTTGCTCTCTGCTCCACTTCCTGTCCGAGCCCATCACCTCCCGGCTCCTCTCCCTTCGACACTGATGGGAACAAGAGGCCAGAGCGCCATGCGCAGGAGAACTGGTCACTCAGGAAACACCAGCTGTCCGGAAAAGGGAAATATCAGAGCCCCCCGGGTAGTTGAATAGCGTGGTACTCGGGCCCCCCACCGTGGCCTTTGGCTCGGTGTCATCGAGGTCTTAAAAAGGAGGCGTTTCTATTTCTACACATTTTGCAATTTTGGCCTTTAGTGCAATTACACGGGCCAGCAATAACCATTCATCTCAGGAATATATGACTCTGGTGTTTGGTATAAGTAAAAAGATAATAAAAAATTAAAGAACCTCCACTAACCATTGGTTAAATTAATTAAGCTAAGGAGGCCCGCCCGGAGACACGGTCCCAGGTCCCAGGTCCCTGGCAGGGGGCATCTGCCCAGTGACCAGACTGCAGTCCCTTTCTCGGCTTTTCCAGTGTCCCCAGCTCCTGGATGGACACTTAAAACTGGAAAAAGACGTGTTACACGCGTACAGCAAACTTTTTAGCAGTGAAACACCTTCATAAAGGGACACAAGCAGATGGGCATCTTTGTTTATCCCAACGAGCGTGGTAACTTCATAGGGTTAGTTGCGGAAATACTGGCCTTTTGGACGGAGAGGCGCTGCCTCTGACCACTGCCCCTGTTTACTGGACATTTCTCTGCTTCTGAGCCCACTGGCCCATGAGTTCCCCGACGGGTGGCAGACCTGGGTGTCTCTAATGAGAAACTTCCGAGTTAACCCAGAAACATTTTAGATACCGGGCGTGTTTAGTTCTTTTTTTTTTTAATTGATTTTAGAGAGAGAGGAAGGGAGAGGGAGAGAGAGATGGAAACATCGATGAGAGAGAACATCGACTGGCCGCCTCCTGCACGCCCCCCACTGGGGATCAGGCCCACAACCTGGGCATGTGCCCTGACCGGGAATCGAACCAGGACCTCCTGGTGCAGGGTTGACGCTCAACCACTGAGCCACACTCGCTGGGCGTGTGTGTTCAGTTCTTAATTGGTGGCAATTGTTCTCCTTAGGACGCTGCTGTGGAACACAGGGTGAGGGGGGCCCCTTTGTCTGACACTCTGATCTGTCCTGGACGTTTGCTCTCAGGGGAGAGGGGCAGCCCGGACCCTTAAACTGTGTCATGGCCTCTGCTTGCTCCCGGTCGCTCCTCAGTGTACAGAAAACCGCTGGTCACTGAAGGACAAAAGAAGCCGATTGTGTTCATGAGCGGGACTGCACAGCCAACGTCCCTCCTCCAGCGACCTCTCTGCTGTTTCCCAGGTGCAATGGGGGAGTACGAACCCAAGATCGAGGTGCGCTTCCCGGACACGCTCCCCACGGCCCAGGGGTCCCGCGCACAGCTGGAGTGCTTTGCCCTCGGAAAGTAAGGTTGTTTTGTCTCTTTTGTTTTCCACTGTTTTAATCTGGAAACAACCAAAACAGAATGTTGTGTTATTCAAACATTGCTCTAAGGTAACCGGCCAAACAGATTTCAAATGCGGGGAAAAGTGGAAATTTCTGATTGGAATTTAAGTAAAATGCCTAATACTCTGGAAATGATTGGGGCTGCAGGTCTCCCCTCATTGCTGGTGTTGCCTGTTGCTTGACCCCTCTGGCTGCAAGGACCTTGTGAGATGTGGCCAAGTCACCGAGCCGTCCACACCCCTTCCCACCTCCTGTCCCACACCCGCAGGCTCGCCGCCCACGGGGCCCCTGACTTAATTAATCAGCAATAATTGCACACAAAAACTCTGCATTGCAGTCTCCAAAATAAGGCTAATTAAGAGCTATGTTCACAGTGGACAATTAGAGCGGAGGCAGCCCTCCCTGCGGAGGAGGTGTTCGGTGAGATTCAGATAACTGTCTGCCCACCAACAGGCCACCAAACACCTGCTGTTCTGCCTGTACCATTCCGACGCCTTTCTTCACCGTTGGGGGGATGAAAACTTCACGTTTGTGCCTTGCACACCAGGGCCCCAAGACAGAGAGTCAGGCAGACTAGATCCGGCATTTATAACGTGAGTGTGCACAGGGACCCGGGCGACGTCCTCTCGAGATGCTTGGGTGTAGGGTGAGGTCAGCTTCTCTTTCTCACAAGCTCCCAGGCAGGAGCGACTCTGGTCTATAGGACACTGGGCGGAGCAGACCCTGCCCCTCAGCCTTGAGGCCTCCCTCTGAAGGCAGAGTCCACTCCGAAGGTGGTCATCGTACTGGGAACTGTGGTCTCCAGTCCAGACCGCGGAAAACACCTTCAGAGCCCTCGTCTCGTGCTTGTTAGACAGTGAGCCGCCCACAGTGCGGGTGGAAACATCTTCTCGGCTCCCTTCTGCATGTGGATCCCGTACATCTTTACACTTCTCGGGTTATTTATTTTTCATGTATTTAGGAGACCCTGCTTTATTTTCATTTAGTGCTGGTCCCACAGTATTTCCTCGGTGATTAATTATTGATTGATGCCCTTCAGAAAGTGAGAACCGGGGACTTCATGTCTGCTTTCATCTGTTTGCTACGTGAAAGATGTCATGAGCTTTTCAAGCTTTCTCAGAATGTAAAGTTACTACACACACGTAAAATGTTTGTCAGAAAACTACTTTGAAATTAGATGATTCATTTCAAAAAAGAAAAACTAGTGAAAAATAGCATCTGAAAAGAATATCAATAGCTTATTCTACCATATTGAACATCAGGAAATGTGAATTCCTGAAATTTAAAAAATACTCATGCATAATAAGTAATTAAAAATTATTCAGGCTTGCCCTGGCTAGTTTGGCTCAGCAGTTAGGATGTTGGCCAGAGAACCAAAGGGTCTCGGGTTCAATTCCAGCCAAGGGCACGTACGTGGGTTGCAGGTTTGATTCCTGGTGCTGGTCAGAGTCATGCAGAAAACAACCAGTCAATGTGTCTCTCTCACATCGATGTTTCTCTCTCTCTCCCTCTCTCCTGGCCGGTTTGGCTCAGGGGTTAAAGCATCGGCCCGCGGACCAGAGAGTCCCGGGTTCGGTTCCTGCTAAGGGCACGTACCTCGGTTGCAGTTTGTCCTTGGGCCGGTTGGGGTTGTGTGGGTGGCAGCCACTCGATGTGTCTCTCTCACATCAATGTTTCTCTTTCTCTCTTCCTCCCTCTCTCCCTCCTGCTCTCTCTGAAGATAAATGTCCTCAGGTGAGGATAAAAAAAAAAAAATCACTGGAAAAATCCTTGAGTGAGGATTAACAACAACAAAAATGTTTTTCTAATCATTAAGGCTAGTTCTCAGGAACCCCACACAGATGAATCCCGTGCTCACTGTGCACAGCCGAGGATGTGCACGATGCGGGCCGCCCCCGAGGGTGAGGGGCAGGTCACAGTTCTGTGCCGCGAAGTCGAGGCCCAGACCAAATGAGCAACCTGGTCAGTGTCAGTGTCCGTGAGGAAGTCAGGAGGGAGGACCTCGTCCCACCGCCTGTTTAGTTCTGAATCTTGAAATTTTGAGTAATGTTTCAGATGACTGCTCTCAAAGTCGGGGCGGGCAGGTTGGACCTCGTCGTCTCCGTTCACGAGACGGTGAGCAGACATGCCGGCCGACCTCCGTGGAGTTCCCTGTCCTCATCCACTTTCTGTATTTGTTTGGGGATCACAGAGGACAACACACGAGAAACCAGCACCACTGGGCACCGAGGCAGGAAGCGTTCACCGTGCGGTCCGAGCCCAGATGCCCAGTGTCTGCGTCGGTGGGGTGGCATCTAGAAACCCTCGTCTCAGAGAAGGAGGTGAGCTCGGTCCTTCCCTGTCCTCTCTGCAGCAGCAGCAACAGCGCCAGGCCTCGGGGAGAAAGACCTGCAGATGAGGGGACCACTTAGTTCATTCAGATGGTCTGAACGGCTCACACTTCAGATTTCATAACTTTATTTCTACATTTTATTTCTAAAAGCTTCAAACACACAGAAATGTTGAAAGAGTAGTACCTGGGTAATCATGTCAATCACGTGAGCTTTCTCTTGAATTGACCAAGTGTAAATATTTACCACATTTTCTCCTCTGCACACACGCACACACATCCACACACACACACACACGGACACATTCACACACATCTACACACATGCATTCAAGTATATGCACATGCACACACGCACATACACACACACACACTCAAATGCATGCACACATTTACTCAATTACATGCACATGCACATATACACAAATGCACACACATGCAACACGCATACACACATGCATTAAAATACATACACAATTCACTCAGATACATGCATGTACACACCCACCCACACACATGCAAGCAAACACACATGTGCATGCAAACATGCACACACACATGTACATACACACAAACCCACGCACATGCACACACACACACATGCACACACACGCACAAACATGTATGCCATGCATTGAGACAGACGGGTGATAAGTAATGAGAGCCTGAATTCTGGGGGCATGTTTTGCCACTCGGGACATTGCTATAGATCCCACCCCTTCTTAGTGCAGCTCACTGTGAAATTGAGGGGCTAGGGAGGAAGGAACGAGGCAGAGGCAGGACGTCATTCACTCCTCCTCCGAGCGCCCACGGGCGCACTCTGAGAATGCACTGACGTCCCTGGAGGAAGCGAGGCCACGAGGCCACGAGGCTCCGCCTTGAACGCTCTCGTGGAGAAGTGAGAACTAAAACCATCTCGCATCGCCCCCTAACCTCACGATGATGGAAACAATCAACGCGCTGAACACTGAAGGCCAACAGAGCTGTATACAGTGAAGTGTATGAGCTTAACCTGTGGGCGTGCTTACACTCGATGATAAAATCAGGATTCGCAATATTTGATCCACAAAAATTGGAGGTAGGAAAAAAATAATTCAAAACTCTCAAAATGGTGAATCTGATGTGTATGTATAAAAAAAACACATGATTGATAAATTGTAAGTCCATTGTCAAGTCCGTACATAATAAAACTTTTGCTCATAAGATAAAGTTTAAAAAGAAGGGGACAATGATGAGAAGTACTGAACTGCACTTTATAAAAACTAGTCAAGAAAATCACGGACTTAATGAAATATACACCACATGTTGGGATCATGTCCGTTACCTTAGGTTATTGACACGGAACTGGAAATCCTCGGGGCTAGAAGGCAAACCCCAGCGTCCAGGGGCCCGAGATGGTGCTCACACGCCCCGTGCAAGGAACATGTTTGAGTCACTGGCGTGCGGACACGGTTCTCATTTCTTCAGATGAACACACTGCGTGTGAAAACACTTTGGCTACTTTGGAAGATACTGTACAAACGGGAGCTGCTGGCATGAAGCATTTTTCTACCTGCTTACCAGGAGCTCAGAAAATAAATCGCATGGTAGTGGAAACATTGCGAAGCTACTGAAAATGCTTTTTAGCCCATTATAGGATCTGACATTTACCAAATACTGTACCAACTTTTCTACATGTGCAGAATTAAGAAGACACAGAAAATAACACAATACCTAGAAATTTATGCCATCGTCATAATTAACAACCTGAAGATAAAATCAAACTTCTAGCTTTGTAAATTATAACCGGGAGGTGTAGACTCACTGCAGAATGTCTTGGAAAGACCATCATGAATCACGTTCTCTGACACGTCCTCCAGAAATATCGCTCTGCAGCATCTGGCGTTACTTCTTTTTTTCCCCAAATACGGAGCCCGCTTTGTCCAAATCCATTCCGGTCTCTGGATCACGGTGCTGCCGTCTGTGTAAGATATCCGAGGAACGGAAAACCTCCTTGATTCAGGGAAGAATGGCATCAACGTTCTTTTTTTTTTTTTTTGTAAGTAACAATGTTTCTAAACCCTTTTGCTAAACAGCAAGAGGACTGTGTATGCGATAAACTGTGCTTTCATTAAGCGAAGGTTTGTATAGTTCGATAAACCAGTAGGTGGATAAGAGGGAGAAAACAGAAATAAAGACAGGTGTGGGCCACGTCTATGAAGTCTTTCACTGTGGGGCCTCCGGCCGTTCTGACCCTTGCCTGGCTTTTGCCACATGTCTGTGGAATGCAGCACAGACAGACCCCGGACCCCACGGGTGTTCCTGCTCTTGAATGTGTACGTGAGTTTGGTACTGACCTCGCTTGGTGTTCTCTGGGTTTCCAAGCTCTGCGGCTCAGTAGCCGTCGTTAATTCTGGAAGATCCCCGGCTCCAAATGTTTCTCCTGCTCATTTCTCTCGCTGTGCTGCTGGGATCCCCAACAGACATCCATTGCACATTCGAACTGGCCCCCCGTTCTGGGGTGCTCGGTTCTTTTTCCTTTTTTTGTGGTTGTTTGCATTCTTTTTTGTGTTCGGGCGGTTTCCATCGATAGTCCTTCGAGTTCTCTCTTCCCTCCGCTGTGTTCAGCCCACTGGTGAGCCTACGGAAGG